GAAAAAAAAAAGTTGACGCATTACTTGCATATGAGATAGAAAGGGAATACTGCGATTTATTAAGAGAGAGAGAATGACAGGGAAGAGAGAGGGGGAGATGGAATTGAAGTAATTTAATCTTTATAGGAATTTTAACAATTTAAAATTTTATAATATAATTTAAACAGACATTTATAATTTAAACTAAATTTATATAAAATTTATACGTTTTAATTAAAAATAATAATTTATAAAAAATTATTTAAAATTTAATTAGTAGAAACTAATTTAATTATTAGGAAATTATATTTATTTTTGAAATTATTAATATTAATATTATATATTTTAATCTATTTAAATTATATTTTATATAATTTTAGAAAAATTATTAGAATAAAATTTAATTTTTTTTTGTAATAAATTAAATTGCTAATACTAAAAATTCATTAAAATATATTTTATTAAATTTCTATATTAAAAAATGATATTTTATTATATTTTAATCTATTTTTTATCAAATTTTATTAGAATGAAAATTAAAAGTTTTTTTATAAATAATTTTGTTATAAAATACATTGAAATTTTTTTATTAAATTACTAATATTAAAAAAATAATTTTTAATGTAATGAATATTTAAATTTTTAATTAATATTTTAAATAATTTTTTGACAATCATAATAATATTTAACTATATTTAAAATAATATAAATTTTTTTGTTTAATATATATTATTTTAATATAATATAATCTATACTTTTATTTTAAAATAATTTTAAGTATAATTTTTTAAAATTTTTATATGTTTAATATTTTCATGAAAAATTTTACCAAAAATATTAAACATATAAACCCTAATTTATGATTAAAAATAATTATATAAATCTATATAAGGAAGAAGCAAGCCGAACGTTCACTACCATTCTCTATTTCTAAATATTTTGCCAACCTTTCACTTTTTCTCTCTTTTGTCGAACATACATGGCGCATTTTAAATGCACTAATTATTATAGCGAATTAGCTCATTTTAAAATTTTTAAATAAATATGTTTTTTTTGCTAATTATGATAGTTAACAAGTTCCTTTTAAAAATTAGCCTATATATTTTATAATAATAATACTAAACAATTTAAATAAAAGCTAAAAAATATTAAAACTTAAATTGAAAAAGGTTAAATAAAAGTAAATTCTAAATAAAACAGCAAACCATAAAATAGCCAAATTAAAAAGAACATAAAATAAAATAAAAATACTCAAGTAATTTTAGCACCTCGAATAAATATTATTTCAATAGCTCGTAAATCTTATTACAGAAAGCTTTATGAATTATAACTATGTGCCTTCTTATTGAACTTTTATTTTATCTAGTGACCGTACGCTCTCTACGTTCGAGATCTAGGCAAAAAAAATGCAATACCGAGTTACCCGTGAGTTGTACCCGAGTTTTTTAAAAAACTCGGTATTGGCGCTGTTTTTGGTCTAAACCGTGAATCTGTAGAGGAGCGTATGTTCACTGGTGCAGGGGCGGAAACCAGCCCTATTTTAGGGGGGGCAAACTTATAAGACATATATTTCGGGAATTCAAGGGGGCAGTGTCTTCTGGCAGGGTTCGAACCTGTTGGGGGGCCAATTTCTCAAGACATAGTATTTTAAAATTTTTAGGGGGGGCAATTGCATGAAAACCTTGTATAAAGACATAGAAAATGATAAAAAGGGTAAATTACCTAAAAAACATATACAAAAATTAAAAAAAATTTTTTTGAGGGGGCCAACAGCCCCCCCTGGGACTAAATGGTTCGCCTTGGAAGGATTGTAATAAAAGTTCTTCTTATTAGTCATAATAACGAATGACTCCACTTTTTTTTTTTTTAAAGAAAATATAGCAAATAAAAGAAAGCTTTTCTAGCATTTATTTTGGGTTCATTGGAATTTAATAAATTAACAGTTTAATAGTAACTAGTTTCTTTTTTATATTATGACTTCTATATATTTATTGTAAAAGGCACTTAATTTGTTCCATGCCTACAACTTTGTATACTTTTTTGCCAAAATTTCTTGAATTTTATCCTTAATGCATTCTCAATTTACTCATTTTGTATTTTTAAAAAAGAATTCCTGGACGTTTATGACAATTAATTAACGCCACTATTTTGAAGACTAGTAAAAATCATGTGGGCATTAAATGCAGGTGATAAAAATTATATTATAATTATTTAATTTATATTATCATTTTAAAGATGAAAAATTATTAAATTATTTTATAATAATTATACACCTGTTTATCTTGCATGTGCACAAACCTAGGTGAATAAAAATATAAAAATTTTAAAATTTGTGAAAAAGTTTCATTAAATTTTGCTAGTTTTAATTGCACAATGCATTAAAATATTAAATGCGGTGTGAATAAAATTTTAAAATAAAAAAAATATAATAATGAATATTTAATTATATTTATTTAATAAAAATAAAATTATTTCTTTTATTTCTATAATTAATTATAATTACTAATATATAACAAATGTATATATTTTTTCTTAAAATAATATTAGGCAAAAAATCATGCACAGGAAAAATCAGATTGCCGAACTGATCATCGGATCAACGACTAGAAAAAAATATACGTCTCTTCATTTAAATGTAAGTCTTTGCGATAAAGCTACATGCGAACTCCACATATAATACATTAGAAAGTCCACTTTATTATTTTTGACGATTTTAAGTTTTTTTATTTGATAATTAGGTTATATAATTAAGATTAGAATATTTTATTTAATTATAACTTAAAATTTTTTATATATTTAATTAAAAAAACTCATTGCCTATCAAACATGGATTCCATGCACAAGACTACGGTAGCAAAGAAGCCTGAAGCAGAATGAAGAAAAAAGTAGAAATAGTTGTAATGTTAATAAATGCAGATTGAGAGAAAAGAAGAAAAATCATTCCAAAAAAGCTTTATTTTAGCCGATGAAATCGTATCAGATTCAGGGCTTCTTATATGCAATCTGCATTACTCTGATCGTAATCCATTGTTCTCATCGAATTAAAGACGCATAAGGACATAGACAAAGACAGTCGCAATTTTTCGAGCCACCGGGAACAAGAACAAAGAGGCTTGAAAAGAATCGTTCTTCGCACAAACTCCGATTGCGACTTCCGAGCAACGAGACGAGAAGCAGGCAACTCTAATAAGACAAACGAAGGTGAGAAGCGGTGATCTTCAAAATATTTCTTCACATGAATTAAAGTTGAGTGGGAAAATGATTTAAAGGCATGAGTAAGACGAACCTTCTTCTTCACGGAAGTCCATCGAAGAGCATTTATTAATACATTAATTTTATGAATAAGTTATAATTATAATAACTCACATCAACACAATGAAGGTTGAGATTTAATTTGAAAAAAGTTTGGGACGGCTTTTTCATTGCTTTCTAAAACAGAGTTTTAGTACAAAAATAAAAAAAATTGTACTAAAACTCCGTTTTAGAAAGTAATAAAAAAGCCGCCCCAAACGAACCCTAAATCAGATATTGATAAAGCACTTGGTAATGTAGCAAGATTTGCTTTCTGAAACGCAAATTACAATTTTCATAGGATGATCAAAATTCAACAGTTTAATGAACTTATAATATAGCAGGAAAAGAAGAGCAATGTATGTGTCATTAGTTGCAGAAACTTTCAGTATTAGGTACATAAATACTCTAAATTAAACCAATATTAGGCGACTTAGTGATCAGAATTCTACAGCAATGGCGAAAAGCACTTTCTTACCCTACCTAAAACCACAAATGACCAATTCTTACCAAACAGGACAAGAAACAAAAAGTATAGGACGAAGTGAAGAATTTACCGCCATTGATGCCGCCCAAGAAGCTTCTGAGAGGGGAACAATCCATACCAGGCTATTATGGGCTGCAGAGGCTCTTGAGGTCTTCTTCCTTGGCAAAGGAGGTCGGAATGAGCCTCGACGCATATGGATACAGATCTTTATACGAGTTTCTTATGGTACCTTCTGCAACACCCGTCGCTAGCGATATATCTGTAAAATATCATTAGGTTGCTCAGAAGAAATGAAGGAATAAATAGTCGGTCGCCTGTTCTGGAGATGTGGTTTACGGGAAATTATTGGGTTCGGACACCGAACGAAGTCCGGAGCCCAATGAAAATGCGCCACATCACCTTTTATTCAGTACTTCACAGTACCAAGCAGTATTGAACTCGGTACTGAGCAGTACGGAGTTCAGTATTACTCGGTATTCTGAAGTGCGGAACGGTAAGTTGTGTTTGGTGTCCGAATCTAATAATCTCTCATGGTTTACAGACCTTTTAATGGCTTCTTCTCTTCTGATAGTTGAGTTATCATGTAAATAACTGCCGCTGCAATTGATATAGGGCTCCTCCTGCAAAACCACGAGTGAATGTTCAGACAGCCAGATCAATAAAGAAATTATAGGAATATAGGAAATATTTCTCACAGTGGTGATATTTTACAAATTATATTTGAATTTCGAACGTTAAAGTAGGCTAGAACAGAGCTTCTATAGCAACTCATGCTGAAAACCTTTTCAGAACTGTAGTATAGTCAATAGTAGAAGTACGAGTAATATAGAGATTGCAGTAACTATGGTAACAACCTTTTTGAAATTGTAGGATATTTAAGAACAAATATGATAGACATTTGTAGCAAATTAGTAACACTACAGGCATTTGGGACTATGGCATGAGAAACACTTTAGGAGGAAAATAGAAGGAAATTTTTAAGGAAAGTGCAAAAAAATTTGCAAAGAAGAAAATTGCATATGTATCGTACACCTATAAAATATGAAATTTCGAAAGTCGAAAGCCTAAAAGTTGAATTTTTTATGTTTCTAATTGAATTAGGGCCCTACAATAGTTAACCAAACCTAAAGGAGATGCTAAAATATTTGAGAATGCAACCTCTTCTTAATAGAATCACAATCATAGGCATGTTTAACATAAATTAGAAAAATATATTATGCAAAACAATTATAATGTAAACTAATCAAACTCCTCTTAAGGCTCAATTAATGTGCTTTCAAAGAGTATCAGATTTTAGATTTTCATCAACACTCCCTCTTTACTCTGAAAGCATCTCCAATTTCTTCCCATCTCGCTCACATTCTCTCCACCCACTTGGCTTCCTAATCCAATCGGCTCTCCATCCACCATTATGGACATGTTGAATGAAGCTAGTCACTTCAGTTCAATTCCATGCGAATTGGCTAACTTAGGTTAATTTTAGACATGAAGCTAAACTAATTCAAACTAACCCTAACACTTGGTAGGATTAGTTTGAGTTCCATGGACATGTGGAGCCATTTTTAAAACTACATGAAAGAAACACATGAAGATCAAAAAATACTTTTCTTACAAGATGATATTCAATATAGGTGGTTGAGATATTTTGCTAAACTTTTTAATGAAAATTGTAAAAATAATAATAAAGATTTCTATTTTTATCGGCGTATTAGTAAAATCGAAGTTAAAGTAAAAAAAATGAAGGGTGGAAAAGCTGTTGGACCTGATGATATTCCAATAGAGGTGTGGAAATGCTTAGGAGATGAAGGTATTTCTTGGCTTACTAAAATTGTGAAAATAAGATTGACTATAGTAACCTTAGCACCCTAAATGATAATAAAGATTTACGTTTTTATCGGCGTATTAGTAAAATCGAAGTTAAAGAGGGTTTAAAAAAAATGAAGGATGGAAAAACTGTTGGACTTGATGATATTTCAATAGAGGTGTGGAAATGCTTAGGAAATGAAGGTATTTCTTGGCTTACTAAACTTTTTAAAACTATTTTGAAGACTAAAAAGATGCCAGATGAGTGGAGAATGAGTGTGTTAATTCCTATTTTTAAGAATAAAGGTGATGCACATATATATGCTGTATATTCCTTGCTCCATGTAAGACTGTTATTCTGAGTTCATGATCAATAAATTCTTTGGTTTATAAGCAAGCAACTTATTATGATGAATCTCTCTCTTTTACTTGATGAGCAGAGCCAATAAAGTGGCTCGCTCAATTTTGTTTGTTCACACGCACATACAATTTGTTAATCCAATCACGATTTTTTCATTTTAATCATCACATAATCAATAAATGAGTTATAGTAAAAGTAATTGTTTGTCAAATTCTGCATTAACAAGCAAGACTTAAAATATTATATGCGGGCATTCATTTGAGAACTTATTACGTTTTGACATGTGACATTTTCTAATGGCTTTTGCTAGTTGTTTTTCGTATTTTGGAGAGTGGCGCAATTCACAATTGACACCTTCATTGAATTAAGTTTACGCTATATCGATCTCCTGTGGCTGATTATGTGCCCTAAACTTCATTCTGATACGTATTTGTGTAGGATCGCCAATGAAATATACAGAAATGAAGAGCCAAGTCCATTAGAGGAAAGGAAACCAGGATGCCATTTGCTGCTTCTTATATATAGCTGCGCAGAAGATATGACCTCCACATAACAGGTACACAATTATAGCATTTTGGGAAGTTTATCTTCTTCTTCTCTCATTTCCTATTTTTTAACACTTCACATTCAGAAAATTGTTCTGTGCTAATAGTGCTACAAAAAGAATTGCAACGAGCAAAAGAATTATTGTAAGCAGCTGAATTAGATGCGGCCAATCAATGAGATGAACTATTCATGCAGGAATTTCCTGTAAAGTTTACTGACAATTAAGTATTGGATCTTGTTTCTTTTTTTCGTAGGACAAGCCATACTCCTTGAAGATAATGGCATAAAATTTTGCTCCCTTTTTCATGTAGATTTTGTGCAGAAGTAGTATTCAACTGTATACTTTATAAAGTTATGTGACTTGTTTAATTATTGCGCCACATTTTGCAAGAGACGTTTCTGTTCTCATCTTGGCCATGACAAATCAAGCAGCTCCAAAGCTGCACAAAAGCATTCAGAAGTCTGAGACTTGAGGATAACGTCACATGTTGACATGATGATTTGATAAAGCACCTAAAAGCTATCATCACTCGTATTGTTGCTATTGACTTGAAATTTTTTCTTAATGCTTTAATTACTTAAGATATCTAAATAATTTACTTCGTAGCAAGAACAATAACAAATAAACCCTTATCCTATTATGGGGCAGATCTCCATTGGTTATAAGAGTAAATCTCCAGTTAAATCTTATAAAAAATTATATTTAAATTTCTAATCAAGTCTTTGTAATTTATATATCTTTAAAATTTTCAAGTTGCCATGTGATTTTGCTTCTCTCACGATCCATGACCTTTAGCCTGGGAACTACACCACAAAGAAGCTTTATCTGTTTACTTGTATGGGATAAACTTATAAGGATTGGAACTTCCTAGCTTGGGCTAAGGAGCTGAAAAACAGAACATCAGACTGTCATTATACATTCATTCCAAAACCCAAGTAAGTGACTGTAACTTTCAAAAAAAAAAAAAAGGTTAAAGCTGACTCGGTAGCAGAGTGATTTTCTTGCTTTGCTTGATAATTATCATGAGAAATAGAATATATGTATGGTTTTAGAAACAAAGTATGGAGTGGTGCGAAAAAGAGAAAAAGCAATTCAAAGTGAAAAATATCTGAGAAACGTGCAAACTCCTAAAGAGTTGAGAGAATGGGGCATATCCATTCAAAGTAAGAAAAAGTCTCAAATCTAAAAAAAATAGGAAAAATGTTGGGCATTTGTAAGAGTTTTGAAAATAAATGGCTATGAATGGGGCTTTTCCTGGATTTCATTTGGAATAGAGAAAGATCAGTATCTAGATAAGATTTCAAAAGTGCAGAAAGATGAGGGATAAAATCTCTTTATCTTTAATAGCTCTTTTTGTCTTTCTTGCATTTTCAGACGATGGGAAAAAAAATGATTCATGTAGTCCGATGATTGGTCTCCGGAAAGTTCCGCTTTCGTGTAGTTCGAATGTGCAAAGGTGCGATCACACTATCCCGTAGACAAAAAAGGGCGTTAGACCTTTACCAATCGACACAAGCAGGCCAATTGGAAGAGCAGATGGATTTATAGATACGAGTTACCATAAGGATAGCGGCTTCACCTTACCAAACCTCGATGAGGATAATTGATATAAATAACCCAACAAGTTCACGAGATTCCCCTAGTTCGAGATACATCACACGAATGAGGGTTTATTTGATTGTGAATCTGGCTTTTCCTACGGCCAAGCCCCCGTAGTTAAATTACATCTTAGACCTCTGATATAAGAAAACCGTCGATTAAGGATTTTGTGATTATTCACTTCTTGATGTGTTGCACAGAATAAAGTTCCTAAAATTCTTACTCCAAATAGTCTCTTCTAATTACCCTTATGATGATTAACATTTTGAATGCGAAAAGCAATATGATTAAAATTTGATTTAGAATCAAAAGCGATTACTACCGCTAAAGAAATGACAGAGCTCAAAACACACAGAAGTGAAAAGACACACTGAGGGTGTGACAACCTGGCTTATGCTGCCATGGAGTGACTGCCAGCTAACATCCTAAACTACATCAAACGCTCCTATATGTATAAGGATAGGGAATGGCTCTATCCTAGAAAATCAAGATTCGTAGTTCAGAAGAGCTCAATCATGACTCTACAATAGCAAAAGAAGAGTAAGCCTAGCGCAGTATGATCATGAAAAGATACAAATATCCCTAACTCTATTGATGTGATCAGATGTAAGTAAGCATAATGTGAGTAAAGGTGTAAAACCAATGCTATGCATACATTCAGAGTACAGAAAAAATAAAAAAACACACCCTAAGTACCCTCCAGGGCAAAGGTACCCGCACAGAAAATCATCATAGTCATCCCACTTCGTGTGAAAACAGCGATGCCCAATCAGATAGTGCCTACTCTACAGGCCTAATGACCCCTAATGTCTCTAAGCTCACAGAAAAAAAAAAGAAAAAAAAAAGGAGGGGTATCGTACCTAAAACCAGAAGCCAAAATCCTAGCAGAAAAACCACGATGTCCCGACTTCGGTGGGAAAAACAACGATGCCATACCGGGCATAATATGGCCTACTCTACAGGCCTAAATGACCCTAATAGGCCTAGGCTCACAAAGGGGCAACTGGTCACCTATAGGGCCAAAAGCTCGTTAGTTGAACTAACCTAAGGCTGGGCTACGTAAGCATACTAATATACCTTTACAGGAAGTGTGGATATGACAGCAGTATCCGGCTAATAATTAAAAATTTGCTTTACAAGTTGCAGGAAACCAGTTATACCTGACTGTATGCGCTTGCCACTTAAAAGCTTAGCATGGCAGACATCGCGGCTTCATTTCTCATCCATAAGCTCAATGACCTCGCAAGAAAAAGACAACAGAGAAATATATATGAGCGTAATGCGTCAGAAAGAAGTGCGGGTAACTAACA